CTAAATCCGGAACCTCTGCATCACCAGCTCGGGCTTGCGGTTTTGCTTGCCTGTGGGAAGCCCTCGCAAAACATCGCGTATATGCAGGGTTTATTTAGGCCATGTGGCTGACATCATCAGGGTCTGGGGTTGGGCCTGGGTGATGCTTCAGCGGGGCTTGGTCTGCATCATCAAGACCAGAGGTTAGGGTTCGAGGTTAGGGTTAGAGGTCAGGGTTAGAGGTTGGGGTGAGAAGTTAGAAGTTAAAGTTAGACGTGAGGATTAAAGGTTAGAGGTTAGGGTCAGGGGTTTAGGGTTAGAGTAGAGGTTAGGGTTAGAGCATGATGACGACGCTGATGATGATGATGATGATGATGATGATGACTTGACGACGATGATGACGATGATGATTATGCTGCTGCTTATGAATGATGCTGATGATGAGGATGGTGATGATGATGATGGATGATGAGGATGATGATGATGATGATGATGATGATGATGGATGATGAGGATGATGCTGATGATGAGGATGCTGATGATATGGATGATGGCAGGTTCTGCGTGCCGCGCAGACGTAACATTGCCCCAGACACTTGCAGGACGATGCTGGCGAAGCTGGGAACATTCGAAGACCAAAAAGGCAGCTCCTGCATCCCCAACATGCAAAGAATCACCCCGGGCACCTGCAGGATGATGCTGGTGAAGCGGGGGATGCAAAAGTTTTGAAGGTTAAAAAGACAGCTCCCACATCCCCGGCATGCAAAGCATCATCCCGGGCACCTGCAGGAGGATGCTGGCGAAGCTGGGGATGCAAAAGCTGCCTTTTCTACAACTATCGAAGACCAAAAAGGCAGCCCCCGCATCCCCAGCCTGCAAAGCATCGCCCCAGGCACCTGCACAATGATGAGGATGATGCTGGGGATGATGAGGCTGATGATGATGGCGATGACGATGATGATGCTGAAGAATGATGCTGAGGATGATGATGCCGATGATGATGATGATGATGAGGATGATGATGCTGGATGGCGAGGATGATGATGACGCCGCTGATGATAATGATGATGAGGATGATGACGATCATGCTGCTGATGCTGATGAATGAGGATGTCATCCATCATCATCCGCATTATCATCATCATCCTCATCTTCATTCAGCATCATCATCATCGTCATCCTCATCCTCATCATCATCCTCATCATCATGCAGCAGCCTCATCATCATCATCATCATCACCGTCATCACCATCATCAGCGGCGTTATCATCATCATCATCATCGGCATCATCATCATCATCATTCTTCATCATCATCATCCTCTTCATCATCCTCAGCATCATCATCATGATAATCCGTCATCGCCATCATCGTCATCATCCTGAGCATCACCAGCATCAATATCATCATCATTAACACCATTATCATTCATTATCATTATCATCACCATCATTAGCATCGTCATCATTGTCATCACCATCATCGTCACCGTAATCATCATCATCATCACCATTATCATCATCATCATCCATCATCACCAACGCCATTATTCATCTTTGATCATCATCATTCATCATCCTGAGCATCATCATGAGTCATCATTCTCATCATCATCATCATTCATCATCACTTATCATCACCATCAGCATCTTCATCAGCATCGTCATCATCGTCATCAATCATCATCATCATCATCACCCATCATCATCATCATCATCCAACATCGCCATTGTCGTCATCATCCTGAGCATCATCAGCATCATCATCAGCATCATTAACATCATCATCATCATCATGATCATGCATCATCATTATCAGCACCATCATCATCATCATTCATCTTCATCATCGGCATCATCATCACCATCATCACCACCACCACCATCCATCATCATCATCAACAGTGGCATCGTCATCCATCATCATCAACAACATCATCATCATCATCAACGTCATCGGCGTCATCGGCATCATTAATCATCATCACCATCATCATCATCTTCATCCTCATTCATCATCATTCATCATCATTATCATCATCATCATCAATCATCATCATCATCATCCTCATCCATCATCGTCATCAGATCATCGTCATCATCCTGAGCATCATCAGCATCATCAGCATCATCATCATTAACATCATCATCATTCATCAACATTATCATCGCCATCATCATCATCATCACCACCGTCATCATCATCATCACCCTCATCATCATTACCATTATCATCATCATCATCATCATCATTATCGGCAGCGTCATCATCACCATCATCGTTAATCATCATCATTATCGTCTTCGTCATCATCAGGGTTGGAGGTTAGGGTTAGAGGGTGAGGCTAGAGGACCGTTTTTACCGTTTTTACCGCCCCACAAGTGTTCCCGTCATCTTCCCGTAGTCTTCCGTCATCTTCGTGTAGTCTTCCGTCATCTTCCCGTAGTCTTCCGTCATCTTCCCGTAGTCTTCCGTCAGCTTCCCATAGTCTTCCGTCATCTTCCCGTTGTCTTCCGTCATCTTCCCGTAGTCTTCCGTCATCTTCCTGTTGTCTTCCGTCATCTTTCCTTAGTCTTCCGTCATCAAAACCGTAGAGGTTAGAGGTTAGGGTTAGGGGGGTTAGGGTTAGGGGGGGGGTTAGGTTAACAGTGTTTGGGGGTTGAGGTTTGGGTAGGTTTAAAGGTCGAGGGTTATAGGGTCAACTTCCCGTACTTCTTGCGTCATCTTCGCGTCATCTTCCGTCAATAGTCTTCCCGTTTCATTCTTCCCCGTAGTCTTCCGTCATCTTCACGTAGTACTCCCCGTACGTTTCTTCGTCAGCTTTTTCCGTCAGCTTCCCGTTTAGTCTTCCGTCATCTTCCGTAGTCCTCTTCCATGTCATCTTTTTTTTTTGTTTTTTGGTTTTTATTTTTTCTTTTTTTTTGTTTTTTATTTTTCCCGTACTCTTCCGTCATCTTCCCGTAGTCTTCCGTCATCTTCCTGTAGAGGTTAGAGGTTAGGGGTTAGGGCTAGGGGTTAAGGTTAGAGGTTAGGGTTGGAGGTTTAGAGGTTAGGGGTCTTCCCGTAGTCTTCCGTCAGCTTCCCGTCATCTTCTCGTAGTCTTCCGTCATCTTCCTGTAGTCTTCCGTCATCTTCCCTTAGTCTTCTGTCATCTTCCCGTAGTCTTCCGTCATCTTCCCGTAGTCTTCCGTCATCTTCCCGTAGTCTTCTATCATCTTCCCGTAGTCTTCCGTCAGCTTCCCGTGGTCTCTTCCCGTCAGCTTCCCGTTGTCTTCCGTCATCTTCCCGTCCTTCCCGTCGTCTTCCGTCTTCTTCCCGTCCTCTTCCGTCATTTTTCCGTGGTCTTCCGCCATCTTCCCGTTGGGGTTAGTGGTTAGGGTTAGGGGTGAGGGTTGGAGGTTAGGGTTAGAGGTTAAGGTTAGAGGTTAGGGTTCGGTTAGGGTTAGAGGTTAGGTTTAGACGTTAGGGTTAGAGGTAAGAGGTTAGGGTTAGAGGTTAGGATAAGAGGTCAGGGTTAGAGGTGAGGGGTTGGGGTCATCTTCCCGTAGTGTTCCGTCATCTTCCCGTCATCTTCCCGCAGTCTTCCGTCATTTTTTCGTAGTCTTCTGTCATCTGCCGTCATCTTCCCGTAGTCTTCCGTCATCTTCCTGTATCTTCCCGTAGTCTTCCGTCATCATCCCGTTGTCTTCCGTCATCTTCCCGTACTCTTCCATCAGCTTCCGTCGTCTTCCCGTAGTCTTCCGTCATCTTCCCGTAGTCTTCCGTCAGCTTCCCATCATCTTCCCATAGTCTTCCGTTAAGGTTAGAGGTTAGGGTTAGAGGTCAGGCGTGGGCTTCTGTCACCTTCCCGTAGTCTTCCGTCATCTTCTGGTCTTCCGTCATTTCCCGTCGTCCTCCGTCATCTTTCCGTAGACTTCCGTCATCTTCCCATAGTCCTCCATCATCTTCCGTCATCTTGCCGTCAGCTTCCCGTAGTCTTCCGTCATATTCCCGCAGTGTTCCGTCATCTTCCCGTAGTCTTCCGTCATCTTCCCGTAGTCTTCCGTCATCTTCCCGTAGTCTGCCGTCATCTTCTCGTAGTCTTCCGTCATCTTCCCGTAGTCTTCCGTCATCTTCCCGCAGTCTTCCGTCATCTTCCCGTAGATTAGGGTTTAGGGTTAGAGGTTAGAGGTTAGGGTTAGAGGTCAGGGTCAGGGGTTAGAGGTTAGGGTTAGAGGTTAGGGCTAGAGGTTAAGGTTAGAAGTTAAGGTTAGAGGTTAGGGTTAGAGGTCAAGGTTAGAGGTTAGAGGTTAGGGGCATCCATCATCATCCTCATTATCATCATCATCCTCATCATCCATCATCATCATCATTATCATCATCATCATCATCATCATCGCATCATTATCATCATCATCGTCGGCGTCATCATCATCCTCATCATCATCGGCATCATCAGCATGAGCATCATCATCGTCATCATCATCATCATCATCATCCACCCTCACGGTTAGAGGTTAATGTTAGAGGTTAGGGTTAGAGGTTAGGGTTAGAGAGGTTAGGGTTAGAGGTTAGGGTTAGAGGTTAGGGTTAGAGGCTAGGGTTAGAGGTTAGTTAGGGTTAGAGGTCAGGGCTAGAGGTTAGGTTTAGACGTTAGGGTTAGAGGTTAGGGTTAGAGGTTCGGATTAGAGGTCAGGGTCAAGGTTCAGGGTTGGAGGTTAGGGTTGGAGGTTAGGGTTAGAGGTTAGGGTTAGGCGTCAAAAATCCGCCGGGACCCCCCCTCCCGCCCTCAGCCTCCCTCTAACCACCACTTAGAACTCGCCTCCGCTTTGCAGAGACCAACTTGGCTTTTGCAAAGGGGTCGGCGGATTCGTGCCTCAAATTGAGTGTGTCTCAAATTTGACTGTCCCGAAGGTGGACGATGTCCAAGTGGTTTCTCTTCTCGCCCCACAAATGATCCTTCGGTTTCCAACCCCCAACACAACCCCAACAAGGGAAACCCAAAAAGACGAGCCACCAAAAAAAGCGTTCCCAGCCCTGAGACTGGCGGGGGACTGCCCATCCACCTCTACTCGGTGGCGGACGCAGCCTTCAGAGACGCCTGGCTGATGAAAGGGCTCTACCTGTCTAGGTCCCCCAGCGTTCCCTACTAAAATAGACTACAGATTTAGGGTACCCTCATTCTAACCTCTCTGCTGGAGGACCTAGCTGTGGAATGTTTCATTTTTCTGTGGAGGGAGTCTTGTTCATACTCTACAGGTTCTCGCCTCCTTTCCGGTTAATGTAGGGGTTCTCCCTGACTGCCAGCAGAAAGAAGCAGGTGTAACGGCCGCTGAACAGTCGTTATGCCCATTCCCGTTTTAGAGCCGAATGGTTCCCCACTCAAAACCAACATCTGCAACCATCTCTGCAGGTTCATCGCGTACCAGCAACATGTGTCCTGGTCAAAAGGCCTCGTACTTGGGCTCCGTAGGCGCGGCAACAGCCCCAAGAGAGCCAAAACCTTGGCCACACAACCCTGGAGTTCTGACTACACAGCTACATCCTATGGCAAACGGGGTGCAACCAGTGAGCTTCTGCAAAGGCAAAGCGGGGTGTTTGAAAGGCCATTGTTTGCCAGTGGATGTCAGTTGCCACTGCAGTACGTAACCAGATATGTCCCTTTTGCCTTGGATACCGGCCATACTCTGAAATCACTGGGATTCTTTTGGCATTTACCTGCATTGGTCCCCACTGCGCATTGCAAAGTCTGAGCTCAAGAGAATTCGGGATCAGAAATGGGGCTCGCGGCTTTTTTTCGCTTGTTCCGCAAGTTGATAAGACAGGGGTCCCTGCATTTCTTTTTTGGTGGTGTGAAGGCCCTAAGCTGAGTTCAGATGGGGTCTTTCGAGGGGAAGCTGACAATCGAGTAGTCTTTTCCTTCGGTGCCGTGGTCTCAGTTCAGAGTTAGGATCTGCGGTTCGTTGATTCGGTCTGTGGCCTTGGTGTGGAACGAAGCTGTTCAACTGGCGTTCAATGCAGTTGCGATGTTGTATGGTGCTTGGCATGATCAACGTCAGATTGGCGGGCACTGTGGAATTGAAGATCCGGAAGATTGCAGCCCACCAGTTGTATTGGGGGCGATGCGACTTACTAGGCAAGCCTGCGAGTAGTTGGTGTCAGGTTGGTCCCCTTTCGAATCATCCCAGAAGTGATCCTTCTTTCTACAGTGGCGCTTGCGCTCACCTGTCATCTTCTTTAGCCTCGAATTCAAAGAGAGTCTCTCCATATGGACAAATCAATACCAGCTCACCCAAGAAGGCGAAGTCACCCATAAGGGTGCCTGGGATCGCAAATCCTTTCTTCAGGTTTGTGAATTGCAGTAAGTTGCCAGACGTGGCTTGGATCATCGTTTTCTTCAGCCCTCAACGTGTTGTCTATTAGACGGGCCCATGTCTCTAGCGATGGCTAGCATCATGTTTGCTGATTCCCAATCAATTTGCGCTCGGCGGCCTCCTGTGTTTGCAGCATATTGCATTGGGAATAATATGTACATGTATATAATACATAGTATATTATGTATACTTATAATAGGTATACGGTATACCATACATATATATATATATATATGTATATACACACACACCTAGATATACACTCGTCCACTTTGCATGGATACTATGTACATGTATATGATTGTGCATTCTCATTCACAGATGTCTCGTTCTTCGCACCTTCAACACTAGACTCTGGAAAGCTCACCAAGGCCATGCTGTCAGAGAAGGCCAACCAGTCCATCATCATCTCAGGCCATAAACTGTTGGAGCGGATGGCTAGGCTGCATCCTTCCCTTGGGTTGCGAACGGGGTTCTCTGTGTAGTGATTCACCGTGGGTTTCGAATTCAGGTTGGGCGCACCTTCATTTTGAGCGTCGTATGTATAGGTTGAGGGTGGCTTATGGACGGCCGTCACCCTCACATCCTGCTTCCGCTGCTAGTTGGCTTGATTTGAGCGGCTTAGGATTTCTCATGTTGTACAGAGGAGTTGGGCTTCAGAAGGCAAAGGTGTCAAGTTTTAGAGTATGAGAGGTGATAGAAGTTGTAGCAGCTTGAGAGATTCACAGTTTTGGCCGATTGGCGTATTTAGGGTTTGGGGTCTTGGGTTCGAGGGTTCTTCCTGAGTGTGTAATATAGTGTTGGTTGGAAGCTGCATGGGGTTCATAGTGTTAGGTGTACACATGAAGACAATCATACCGGCCGTTCAAGTGCCACCCATATACATTCCCATGCGACCCCAAGCTCCATTCCCCGCTAACAAGTTCCCAACTTGTGGCTGACCGACCAAGTGCACTGCAAACCTATCCGCTTGCCAGCCCTCCTTCACCATTTTTCCCTCTATGTTCCGCCAAGTGTTTTCCACCTGAATTTTGCCATCCAAGCACCAGGGACCCTCCCCATGGTTCCTTTGTGCGTACAAAAGAAACAATGGAAGGAAGCCCGTTGGTCTCAAATTAGCACCCTCGGGATATTTCCCTCAGTTTTCTTTCAAAAGAAATCAAAGTGGTTTCACTCCAAAAGCAATCAACATGAATCCCCTTCAAAACCAAGCGAATCACTTCCCCTTCAGCAGCATTCAAGTCGGTGCCCAGTGAGAACCCATTAACGTGGAATCCCTTCAAAACCTAACAAAAAGGTTCCCCTTCAAACCCAACCAGATCAGTTCTCCTTGCACACCAACCATCACAGGGATCTCACCCACCAGATATCGAATCCATTCAAGCGCCAGGCGAGAGCGGGGCCGGGAAGACGGAGGCGACCAAGCGGATGTTGGCGTACCTGGCGGAGCTTCAGAGCTCCAAGCATGAGTCAGGAGGGGAAGGGAAAGACACGCGAGTCCGAAAATGCAGGTTTCATTCGTTTAGGATTTTAGGTTAGGTTAGGTTTACTGTAACATTTGAGGCGTTCTTTGCGTTGCGTCTTGCGTTGTATTGTGCTTCTCAAGCATGTTCAAGGAGTGGCTTCCGTTGTTGCATCAACCAGCGCAAGAGGCTCCAGCCCGTTTTGAGGAAGGGGTTGGCGGTTGGGGTGAGGCTCGGAGGAATTTGGAGGAGCAGAGGGCATGGCAGTGGTGTGCCGAGGGCATGCAAAGAGGGGGTTGGGGGTGGGGGAAGGATGTATGCACAAATTGGAGAGGGTGTTTCATACAGGCTCAAGTGTTTGGTGACATGTGAGCTTGTTTGCGCGGATAAGTGAAGCCTCCAGAAATTAGTTGGATTTTACCTTGTTCCACGCCCCATCTACATCTCGTCCCTTCCGCTGCCAAGTAATTCAGGCTTCTCCAAAATGAGGATGCATTTATGCTTTCCTCCTTTTAAAGGGGAAACAAATGATTGGGCAACCTTCTGTAACCCCCTCTCAAACGAAGAAACAACAACTAAAATGGCAGTACAGATGCACCAAATCCCTGCAATCGCTGGCAGGTGTGTCTCTTTTTCCGGGGCAGTTTTCCACAGGGTTTCATCCATTCCAACTGCCGCTCGGGGATCCGTGGGTTTGGTCCAAGTGACGATCAGTGGGAGTTCCAGGAGGCCGGCGCTCGGTGGAGTCGCAAGTGCTGGATGCCAACCCTGTGCTCGAGGCCTTTGGCAACGCCAAGACGGCGCGGGTCTTGGCGACTTCTTATGTCAGCCCAAAGGGGTACCAATGAGTACCCTTAGCTTTGAAGCACCTCAAAGAGGGTCTCCTAACACGGAGTTTTCCCGTGCAGGTGATGTTTACAGGAGAAATGCATTAAGAAACACTGCGTGGTTTCCTTTGGTTTCCTCCTGGGTATTCTCAAGAATGCAGACACCCCTTCTTTGGTCCGGGTGACCCGGATCGACCGGGATTGGGACTTCTTACGACCTTCGGCTCTTTACCTCACAACCTTCGGCAACGTGGATTCCTTTCCAAATTGTCCACTGCATTAGTCGGTGATCAAGTCTTCCGAGGTGTAAGCGGTCCGGTCAGGTTGATTTTTGGATGTTTGGTCCATAGAAGTACCATTGATGCTTCACAAGCTGATCTCAATTACCACTGTACCAGCCATTTTCCTCCGTTGCGTGGGGAAACTCCTTGGTTGCTTGCTCAGGGAGGCAGAATTAATTCCTGGAGTTGGCGTGAGCCTCTAGGAAGTTCATCAAGCAGGGCGGCAAACATTCGTTGCTTTCTTTGATTCCCTTTCGGCGCAACGCGTTTCAACCCCTTTCGGGTCTGAGCAACCCTTCCCACGACATGTTTGAGACACCTTTGCATGGCCGGAGGCGGCTCAATAGCGCTACATTGTTACATGATACATGTGTCAAAGTAGGGATTTGGACCCCCATCGGTTTCCTTGAAAGCCACCCCAACAATGCGTACCTCATAACGATACACACCCAGATCTAGACTTGAATGGTTTTGGGGTGAATTCTTTTGAGTCACCCGCGGTGTTTAGTTAGTTGTTGGATGCTTGGCGGCTTTGAGTCGGCAGGGTTCTCAAACTCCCAATGACCACCTTTGGCTTCCTTCGGATTCCTTCAGTTTTCCTTGGTCCATTTGTTTTCCTTTGGTTTCCTTTGTTTTTCGTTAAGTAGCTTCCTTTGGTTTCCTTAATTAGTTTCCTCTAGTTTCCTTTGATTGGTTCCTTTGGTTGCATTTCATTAGCTTCCTTTGGTGTTGGTTTCTTTAGGCTTCCTCAAGTTTCCTTTAGTGTCCTTTAGTTTTCTAGAGTTTTCTAGAGTTCTCCGTAGTTTCCAGTGGTTTCCCGTTGGCTTCCTTGAGTTCGTTTGGTTTCCTTTGGCTTTCAATGGTTTCCTTTCCTTAGGTGTCTTATCATTCTGTTCTGTTGCGGCTGATCAGGTCTTCGGCATTCCCCCTGTTTCGAGACGCTGGTGTTGCGTCAACGCCCGCGTGGCTTGAGCCGATGCCGTGAGGTCCGGAACGACAACTCCTCGCGCTTCGGCAAGTTCATCGAGGTGGAGTTCGACACTTCGGGGAAGCTGCTCAGCGCCCAGACCCTCGGACGCCCAAGCCGGGAGGCTACGGGAGAAGGGATGGGTCTTGTGACCTTCGTTCGTTAAACGCAAAACATCTGAAGGGAGCACTGCCAGTTTGTGGGGTGATCCTATTTTGAGACAAACCCGTGATACGTCCGGCCAAACTGTGTCGCGTGAAGCGTTGTAATTGGTGAGGTGTTGCCAAAGTGAGTTGGACGCCTTTTTTGAACTTGGGGAAAACGTGGCGGGCCACCATGAACTCCAGATACCAAAAAGGGTCATGGGAGCACGCCCATTCGTCCTCTGAAGTTTCTGGCTGTGTGGTCGAGGGACCAAAGCTTTCTTTCTGTCGCATAGCCAAACTAGGACAAATTAGAGGAGAAACCAGACGGAGGTGTTTTGCGGATTCCTTTGTGCAACCCCAAAAAGGGTTTGCCCGGGCCCAAGCCCAAAGTCTCTTGTGGGCTTGGATCTGAGTGGGGCTTTTTCCCCAAACAGTTTACTGTGAGGGGTTCTAAATTCATTTAAGGTGGCTCGCCTGTTGCCAAGCCCTAGCCTGGATGCCTGGCACAGCTCTCTGGGTGGACGGGTTCATTTGTCTCCCTGTGTCTCCCTTCATTTGTCTCCCGTTGTCTCCCCGCCTGGATGCCTGGCACGGCTCTCTGGGTGGACGCGTTCGTTTGTCTCCCTGGGTTCACTTGTCTCCCTTTGTCTCCCTTCATTTGTCTCCCGTTGTCTCCCAGCCTGGATGATCCAGTCTGGGTGGACGGGTTCATTTGTCTCCCTTTGATGCCTGGCACGGCTCTCTGGGTGGACGGGTTCTCCCTTCATTTGTCTCCCAGCCTGGATGCCTGGCGCGGCTCGGGTTCATTTGTCTCCCTTTGTCTCCCTTCATTTGTCTCCCGTTGTCTCCCAGCCTGGATGCCTGGGTGGACAGATTCATTTGTCTCCCTTTGTCTCCCTTCATTTGTCGCCCGTTGTCTCCCAGCCTGGATCTGGCACGGCTCTCTGGGTGGACGGGTTCATGTGTCTCCCTTTGTCCCCTTCATTTGTCTCCCGTTCTCTCCCAGCCTGGATGCCTGGCACGGCTCTCTGGGTGGACGGGTTCATTTGTCTCCCTTTGTCTCCCTTCATTTGTCTCCCAGCCTGGATGCTTGTCACGGCTCTCTGGGTGGACGGGTTCATTTGTCTCCCTTCTTTGTCTCCCTTCATTTGTCTCCCGTTGTCTCCCAGCCTGGATGCCTGGCGCGGCTCTCTGGGTGGACGGGTTCATTTGTCTACCTTTGTCTCCCAGGATGTCTGGCACCCCTTTGTTTCCCTTCATTTGTCTCCCGTTGTCTTTCAGCCTGGATGCCTGGCACTGTTTTTTTGGTGGACAGATCCACTTTTCTCCCTTTGTCTCCCTTCATTTGGCTCCTGTTGTCTCCCAGCCTGGATGTCTGTCACGGCTCTCCAGGCGGACGGATTCACTTGTCTCCCTTGGTTCCCCTTCATTTGTCTCCCATCTCTGTGGGTGGACGGATTCATTTGTTTCCCTTTGTCTCCCTTTATTTGTCTCCCATTGTCTCCCAGCCTGGATGCCTGGCACGGCTCTCTGGGTGGACGGATTCATTTGTCTCAAGTTGTCTCCCAGCCTGGATGTGTGGCACTCACGCTCCGCGGTTTCCTTCACTTCCCGCGGTTCTGTCCTTTTGGCGGGGTCTGGTTTGCCTTCGGCTTTGGCCCTGGCTTCGGTCATTCCTTGTCTTGTGGATGTTGGGGACAGGGTCCTCCTCTGTCTGCCCTTCATCTGGACTTTGATTTCGCTTGGGCTCGTGGTGGGTCGTCTTCCTTGTCTATCGTTGGCTACACCCTGTCTGTTCGTTCATTGCCTCGTTATCAGTTGCGGTCCCGAGCTGACGATAGCGGTGCGCTGCGGTGCGCGGCTTCAGCTACGAGAAGGCTCTGTTAACCCCCCGGTGAAACAAACGTGAATCACGCTGGAGTTAAATCCTCTATCGATTCTTCGAGGATGTTCAACGAACCTTACGCTGAGATACCCAGTGGTGCTCTTGGCACCTGGGATTGTCCCGGCTCTCCCGGCGGACGGGTTCATTTGTCTCCCTCTCCCTCCATTTGCCTGACGGATTCATTTGTCTCCCTTTGTCTCCCTTTATTTGGCCCCGGTTGTCTCCCAGCCTGGACGCCTGTCACGGCTCTCTGGGGTGGAGGTTCATTTGTCTCCCTTTGTCTCCCTTCATTTGTCTCCCGTTGTCTCCCAGCCTGGATGCCTGGC